GATATGTGATTGATGGATGTCCTTGTATTTTGAATAACTTATTATAAATTTTAAATATTTAAGGTAATCATTTTTATTATTTTTTTGTCATCCACAACGTTCACCTTACATATATGATTGAGTAATTGTGTGTACATGATCATGATCAAGGAGAATGAATTGTGTTTTTCTTTTCATTAACGCTTAATGAAAGTGCTTAACTTTTTTTTCATTTCATGGCATTAATTTTAAATCCAACAACAAAATTAGAGTTCTTTGAAATATAATATAAATTAAATATCTATAAAAATTATATAAATTACAATATAGAAGACAAAAGTAAGAGAAATTAATCTATATGTTGTTTTGTATAATATTCTTAATATATTCATATGATAATTAAAATAGTATATATTTAGTTTCTATATGAAAAAAAACTAATATAATTATATATTAATATGTAATGCTAAAATTTAATTATATTAATTATTTCCTTTTGAAAATAATAATAACCAGTTGAAAATAGTTTTATAAATAATATTTTTTATTTTATAATTAACATATAACTATATTAACATTTAGAATTAATGTATTATAATATTAATAGTATGTGCATTAATATATGATTATATTAATATTTGTATTCATACATAATTATATTAATTGTTATTTTTAAAATACAATAAAATGAGATATTTATAATTGAATTAGCAGTAAATATTTTTGCTTTAATATATAATTCATTTTAATCTTTGGATAATATTATATTAGATGTTTAAATTTTAAATATTATATGTAATATATCATCTATAAAATTATTTCAACCGATTATCATTATATTTAAAACAGCAAATTAAATATTTTGTTTCTTAAAATATAATGTCAATTAGTGTTATTGAAGAATATATAAATTAAAATTAAAGAGGACTATGCAAAGAGAAAAAAAATCTAACCCATTAATTTCAATGAATTAAAATGTGAAATGAATTAAAATGTAATTGTAATAAAGATTGGGGATCTAAAGATTAAGAAAGAGGATGTAGAGGACAAAGTCATAGAAAAAGGGAATGTGGAAATCCTAGACAACGACTATACAAATAGAGTAGACATACCCTGCAAGAATGGATTTACTGCCCTGAGGATTGGAGATGATCCTACAGTGGCCACATGGCATGTCCCATGATCATGTCTTGGAATGTGAGAGGGCTGAATAATACTGGAAAGTGTAGGGAGATTGAAGCATGTCTCCAAAAACTTAGCCCAACTATTAGTATTTCGATTGAGACTAGAGTTAAATAGAATAAAGCAAGCTCTATTAGATGTAAGATTGGTAGCATATGGTCGTATCTTGATAACTACCAGAATCATAACAATGGTTGAATTTGGGTTCTTTGGAATAGTAATAAGGTAAATATTGTGGAAGTTTCTAAGATTGATCAATTTATCCACTTTCGCATTTACAAGACTTGTAGTGAGTTGTAGTCATGGTGCACTATTATCTATGCTTCTAATTCCGTGGAGCACAGAAGGAAATTGTGGATGGATATTGAGGACCTTAACAAGCAGGTGATAGACCCTTGGTTCTTGATGGGGGACTACAATAATGTTATGAATGTCCATGATAGAATTGGTGGTAACCCTGTCCATGAAAAGGAGTACAAAGATCTTGTGGAGATGATGGACATGAAGGGCTTGTTTGAGAAAGACAACCAAGGTGATCACTTCACATGATCTAATACACATAGTCAAGAAACTATTTACTCCAGGATTGATCGAGTCATTGGTAACATTCAATGGCATCAAAAAATCTCGAAACCACCCTTATAATCATGGTAGCAGGTGTTTCTGACCATGCCCTTCTCAGTCTACACAAATTTGCTAGAATTCAACCTAGAATCCAAACTTTCAAATTCCCTAATGTAGTTACCACTGCAAATGGTTTTATGGAAGTCGTGGAAGCAAACTGGAACATGGATATGGTGGGGCAGCCAATGTTCATTGTTTAGAAAAAACAGCAGAGATTGCAGCACATTATCAGGAAGTTGATGAAGCCTTATGCTGGTATCAGACATCAAATTGAGATAGCCAGAGACATTCTGAATGCAGCTCAAAAGAATCTGTTGCATGATAAAATGAATATTCACAAGATTGAAAAGGTTAAAAATTGTACCATGAATGTGATAAATCTCTCCAATATTGAGGAAAATTTGCTCAGACAAAGAGCGAAAATAAACTGGATTAGGGTATGGGATAGCAACAACTCCTATTTTATGCCAATTTAAAGATAAAATTTAGCAAACAAACATTGATAATATAAAGGATAATAATGGCAAGCAGCTTACCGACCAAACTGAAATTGAAGATGAAGTCCTAAGATTTTACAAAAACCTTGTTGGTGAAAAAGATGCAACCCTTAGAAAAATTGATATCCAAGCCACTAGGGATGGAAAGCAGCTAACTGTGGATCAATGTAAGTTCCTGACTAACCATGTTTCTGACCAAGAAATTTATGATGCCCTGAAAAGCATTAATGACCTGACTTCCCCTAACATTGATGTCTATGGCTCTAAATTTTCAAAGTTACACGGCACATTGTTTAGAAAGATGTCAATGCAGCTATCCATTATTTCTTTATGAAAGATAGGCTCTACAAAGCTGTGAACAATACCTTGGTCCCCATGATTCCTAAATTTGCTTCTGCCTGTATGGTGAAGGACTACAAACCTATTTCGTGTTACACCATAGTCTACAAGCTTATTTCCAAAGTAATGGTGAAACAACCGGCTGAAAATCATTAAACAATGAAGTCGCCATCAAACATTTTTTATCCCACAGGAAGGAAAAGGTAAACATCGAGTAAACCTGAGAAATGTGAAATCAAGGTCGAACGACCAAAATATATGGTAAGGGAGTCTATTACGCGAGGGGAAGGTATTAGCACCCCACACACCCGTAGTACTCTATGGTATCCACTCATATTGTTCTAATCAAAAGGTGTGTAAGAATCTATATCTAAACTGTACAGGGAATGCATACAAAAGAAAGGAGAAAATAATATAGGGAAAATCAAAGTTGTTCTCATTCGGGCCCTACCCCAATGCCTACGTATCCCTTTTAAGAAATCAGAGCAGACTTTGTTCGGCTCACATGTTTTGGTTGGTTTGTATTTTTTAATGATAAATATTAACTTCGCCTTCCGCCGCAACTCAGGCTTTGGAGATTTACGCATCAGCACAGAAGTGAATTAACATGTTCCTTAGAAAAAGTTTGAAAGAAATACCCGAAGGCGCAAAAAGTTTGTATTGGTTGATATCTTTTGCCTTAAAGAAGGATTTGGAAGTTGTTAGACGTTTTATGCATTTTCCAGAAAAAGAGTTTTAGTCTTAATGCAAGGATGCAAAAGAAAAGAAAACATCTAAAGAAGACTAACCTAAATCTATCCCTAATGTTATCATACAATGATTGATCCTAGAGTAGAGTTTTGAAGGGCAAGCTCTACCCTATGTTAACATGCTTGAATAACAATCCTAATATCTATCTCGAATCATCATCTATAGATGAATCGAGAGATCCTAAGGGAACATGCGAGGGTATATCATCTCAAAACATGCACACAAAGATGAAATAAAGCAAACAAGCCAATAAGCTCAAGGGAGCACATAATATGTCATGAGCAACACATGCTAACTCAAGTCAAATGCCTAACCATGATATAGAAGATCAAGGTAGGTATAAAATCAATAAGGGTACTTTAGCCAAGGGGTCATATCAGCCGAGGCAAACAAGCGAGGAGGGGATAGAATAAAAGAGCACGGAGCATCAACGTCGACCAATGTGAGCTCAAGACAAAATGTGGGGGATTGATTACAGATCCCTTTTCCACTTGATAACTCGATAACCATGATCCGTAAAAATACAAAGCATCGATGTACAAAATGAGTTAAGGATGACATGGACTGGAATGTGTGGGGGTCGATTACGAACCCTCCTCGCTTGCCTCCTTTTGAGGACTTATCATCTATAATATAATGCGAGCACAAATGTAAACACACATGCAGAATACCTACTTCAAAGGTAGGATTTTAAACAACCACAAGTAGAAAACAAGCCATATATGCAGAATTTCCTTAAACATGTCTTTAAATAAACCAGAGGGAGTCCTGACATGATCATCAACGGAAATCCCGATCATACATCTATATTCCTACTTGACATGACAAGGAAAGCGGTAAAATCCCTACTTCTCATGATCTATATACAACAACAAAATGCAGAGAGAAAATAGAAGGCAAATATACCAAACGGATATCAACCGGTAGAGCAAAGCAACTAGCCAAGGAACCCAGGAAACTTCGCGAACTGCTAGCACCAATAAAGAAAAGAGTCAGAAATAAAATTCTAGGAATAAGTGTTGAAGCATCATTGATGTGAAAATAAATCACAGTCGATATTTCAAGCGCATTCGCGTATCACATAATAAACCCGCATAAGACTCTAATCTCAACAAGAAAAGGTGAGTCACGAGTCTCGATCAACAAAATGATTTCTAAACATAAACAACAATAAAAAATCTAATCGAAATTTAAAGAAAATAAATTCTAGAAATATTCTATTATACTCTACTATTTTTTTTATTGTTTTTATATTAAAATAAAATTATCAACAACTAAAGAATTAGCTTCTAATCACACAAAATAAAAAGTCTTATCAATTTTGTAATTTTTTATCAAAAATCTATAACAAAGAAATAAAGGAAATGTCATGGAAATCTAAAAAAGAAAATTAAACTCAAAAGGGGTCTTGCGCTGAAATAGGGGAATGTAAGAGTAATTTGGACGCTAGGCCCAGCCAAATGATCCATAAGCAACCCTATTTTGAATAAAAATAGGAAGTTGTCAAAAAAAGGAATGGTGCAGGCCCAAGCAAAGGGAGGTCCGAACCACATGTTGCTTTTTTTGTTCACAAAAACAAGCTTCCAAACAATAGAATGGGCTTGGGGAAAGATGGCTGAGCGTGGCCCA